ACTTAAAATGCCTGGACATATGGATGAATCCTAATTATGGGGGAAAAAAACACATGCACATACAAATAAGCAACATTATTCTTCATATTAATGACACCAAATGCACACAGTTTATTCCTTTGCCAGGCAGAAACTGAAAACTGCAGACATTTCAATGTTCTAGCTTCTGTCCCTAAAAATACATTGATAAGAGAAGGGGAAAAATGTCTTAAAAACACGACAAGGATGTAATATAAATTAATTCAATCTGTAGTTAGTGGATTAGGCACTTCCAAAAGCACAGTGGGATATGACAATATATAACTTTATATGAATATGGAGATCAGATGCCTGGGTTATAAAAGAGCATGTTTGGGTAATGAACCCTTTGACATTTCTCAGCACTGCTCTGTTTGTTGTGACCACTTTTGGCTGCTTTCATGCCAGGCCAGGGTGCCCAGGAATATTGAAAGTCTCACAAGCTGCCATTAAGGCTTTGATGTGCAAGAATGCTTCTTTAATTGCAGCAATAAAGAATGAAGTGAGTTCTGCTTTTAGAGTTCTTCTTAAGTGAGCCTGTAGCTTCTTGTAACAACTTAGACATATCAAAGTTAGCCTTAACAAAGAGTGCTAAATATTAATTAAACTTTCATCTTAATCCAATCCAACTGTCAATTGTGAGGAAATAATTCTTGTAACCCTAGGACAGAAAAATTTCTAATTCAGGATCAAAAGTAGGATAGCGTGATACTTAATTCCCTCCCACCATAGGTGGGCACATGTAAATAGCTTTTTGGGAATTGCCTCAGGAATATCGTGCTTGCTCAGCCCTGACCTTTTGGACTGCCTCTTCAGGCCACTCAGCCAGTCAGCTCCCCCAGGCACGAATCAAGACATGACTCAGACCTGTCACTTCTTTTCATCTCCCTTCCTCTCCAGCAGCTGCTGGAAGAATTAAATGCAGGCAGCAGATGAGTACAAACCTGCTGGCATCCCAGTCCCACCAGTTCTGACACAAAGAGCAGTGCTGGGTGATGGGTGTGATGCTGTTTGGGGCACTCAGGGACCCTGCGTGGCACAGCCAGGATGGGCAGTGCTCTCCACTGAGCACAGCACCAGAGCAGGGCCTCTGCAGAGGGCACCCAGGGGTGTCTTGTACTGCCCAGGGATGCTGGACCATGGAAATTTTTATGGGAGAGGCAACAGTTTATTTTACCACTTTCATTTCTGTCAAGACTAGTAAAGATCTTTGCTACAGTACTGTCAGAAACCATTTTTTGCCTGGTTGCTTTAGGAACAGGGAGAATTTCCTGAGCAATCTTCTTGTCCTTGCCTAAATGCCCACAAGCAAAGTACGTGAAAGACACACTGCAAGTCATAAGTTAAAGTGAAGACCAAGATTTCCTGTGGTATCAATATTCAGCCCTCCTTCACGTGGACCCCTGGGGGCTGCCCATTTGCTGAGGGCTTAATTTCTGTCAGAAAATCAGAATTGTCTCTCGACAGCAGCTCTGAGATGAGCAGGACTGTGCAGCCCAGCCTGTGTGCTCAGAGTGCCAAGCATCACTGCTGAACACAGACTGCTTTGGGCCAAAAAGATAAAAACCAGGGTGAAAACAGCAAAAAGGAGCCTGAGTCTGGAGTGGAGAGAACACAAACTTCACAGGGTAACACAGTCTGGGGAGATATGGACAGTATTTCCATCCCAGCCCTCTTCTCCAAATATAAAAATAAACCTGTTAAGTGCCTGAGGTAAGGAGAAAATTCCCATTTTGCTGAACAGAGCAGAGACAGGGGAGGTATATTGGGGGCACACCAATAATTCATATTTACCGTGGAAAGAGAGCAAGAGAAAGATGAGCTGTGCAGAGCTCTATGTCAAGGGAGGAAAATCCCAACCATAAAAGAAGATTTTGAGCTGTTTGCAAGACAAAGGACTCGAACAAGTGAATGCTGTGGCTCTGTGGTGCTGAGGAAAAGCAAAGAGGAGCTGCCAGGAGGGGTCCAGCCCAACGTGGCAGGAGGAGGTGGGAAATCCAGTCCAGTGACAGCTGAAAAGGACAAAATAAACACATGAGGAAGCCCAGGAGGACAGAGCCATAAGAAATGAAAATTTAAATAAAAGCTATAGGGTGTTTAAAATGTTGATTTAAATCCAGCATATAATCCCAGGCATTTGACATTGCTGGTTCAAATAAACACCCAGACTGAGCTCACCATGTCCCCATCAGCACCAGAGGACCCAAAAGTAGGGCTTCCTCTCACTTCACTGAATGGTGCCTCTGTTTTCCACTAGTGGAAAACAGAGCCTGATTGAAAGATTCCTTTTGCAAAAGCTATCATTATTTTAAATCCTCCGGGTCAAATTCTTTTTGTACACAAGTAAATACTGAGTAATAAAAATTTACACTGATCCTGTAAGAAATACTAAAGCAAAAAGGGTTAGTATAACCTGGGAAGGTAATTTTTCTCACAACAGCAGAGAAAAGTTATTGCTGCACAAAGGTTTTTAAAGATTCTTTTAGGCACAACCTGAAAACTACATCGCTGTAGCATTCAAACCCTTCTACGTTATCATCAAAGATAATACCACATAAATACTACTTAATCCAGGCATCTGAACTGCCTTCTGCAACATATGCATGATCTTTCCATTTTTATACACAACAAATCTGATGAACAGAGATTATATAAAGAGAAGTTATTGGAGTATTACAGCATAAGCACAGAATAGTTCTCAATAGTTCTCAAGTAATCCCAACAATGAAAAAAAAACTGGTTTCCTTTAGGAAAAAGAAAATTCATATTAAAAATTCTCTGACTCTCTCTGAGCCTACTTTACTTTGTGTTCAGTTTTTTAAAAAATCTTAAGATTCTAAAAGCTCTGTATCACAATACAAACCAAATTTATGATTTATTTGGCCTCTTATATTTTTAAATTTACTGCAACTATGTTGGTTCTCAACAGCTCTGCCAGTCTGAAAAACAAGAATTAAGAAGATAAGGAGGAACAGAAACAGAAATATCTGTTAGGATTAGGAGTAAAAACAAAATGTAACAAGCATTTAGGGCAAAATTATCCCAGAAAACAAAAGCCTTGGATGCCTACCCCTCAGGGAGTTGGGCACAGGGAGAAGCAGATTGTGCAGGCATTGGTGCTGCAGGCCAGCAAACACAATGCACAAGGCAATAGACAGAAAAAAATTGTGAGAAAAGAGCTGTAAAGACCTATATTCACACTTGGAGAAGTGTGATGATTCAGATGCTGGCAGCCACTTGAAAGACAGTCCTGAAGAACAGCACCAGCTTTCTTATGAAGGCTTTCTGTCAAAGTTTCAAGTGCTTTGTTTATTCCTCTTAGCAAGTGGATAACCCTGAGAAATACAGTAACACCACAAATGCATTACTGAGTAAATGTCCTAAACAGAAAAATAATTAAAGTAATAATCCTGTGATCCTCTGAATAGCTATCACCTCGATTTCTTGCTGTCCTGGTTTAGGACAATTAATACAATTAATGCAATTAAAACCAAGGAAAGAATGTCGATTATTTAGCTGCAAGATGTAATGCTGCAACGGCTGGGACAGGGAGAGGTGCTATGAAATTCCAACAGGAAAAGGAGAGGCACTCTGCTAGAGCAGAGCACAGGGAAAACCTGGCACTGAGGAGGTGGCACCCATCGGGCACAGGCAGGAGCAGGCAAGGCAAAACCTCTTGGGTACAAAGTTATTTCACCAAATTTACAGAGTTGCCATCACAATTGCTCTCACAGAGCCCTGTGAGTTTTCTCACAAAAGTTTTCTATTAACTTTTCGGCTTCTTTATAACAAAAAATTACCAAAGCCAAGTGAGTGTAAAAATAGTGGAAAATCTCATCAACAGTTGGGCTCGAAGATTTGGAACAGGCACCAAAAAGAGCCATGAGTCCTGTGGCTACCTGTGAGGGGGCATCAGGAGGGCAGGAACAGGTCCTGGAAGCCTTAAGGAGAAATTTCACCTCATCCTCCCTGGCTTTCTCAAGGAGCTGGAGAAGCTGCCCCCCATGTCCTGTGTGCAGGCAGCAAAGCACAGCACGAGCTCTGCTGGGGGCTCCATGAGCACTGTCCTGCCTGTCAGTGTCAGCCTGCTTGGCTACATGGATATTTCCAGGATACTGGACATTTCCAGTGTGGAATATTTCCAATAGTGGATATTTCCAGGGAAAGCCACTGCTGGGCTGCTCTGAGAGACCACCCCCATGGCCCCTGCAGGATGTCCAAGCTAGGCTGGAAGGAGACACCACTCAGAAGGCACAAACAGCTTCTTCACCACAGAAAACTGTGTTCATCCACCAAGGGACAAAACCATGGTGTGACAAGTGTGGCCAGCCCCAGTGCTGGGCACGGGGTCTCGTGCACCCTCAGGTGCTCTGCTCCTCAGGGCACTCAGCACACAGCAGAGAGCTCTGAGCAATGTGCAGAGGGGTCAGAAACTCTACGAGCCAGCTGGACATTGTGAGAGGACAATACACTTCTATTTGGAAATGGGATATTGAGTATTAACTGCTCCCTGCTCTCGGCATTGCCATCTGGTGAATAAAGCCCAGGGTTTGCTCTAATTAGTTCTGTCGGCACAAAGCAGGACCTACAGAATTTCCTCCAGATTCACTTCAACCAAAACATCTGCAAGAGCTGTGTCTGGGAATAAAAGCCCGGGCAAGGGGCTCCACTTGGTGTTGTGAAAGATAGGGGTTTCACACATCACACACTCAAACCTAAATTCCTCTGGGGCTGCCAGAGCAAGCCTCTGAAGAAAGAGATTTTCACCATTATGCCAAAAGCAGAATCAAGCCCTGGATTTACTACTCTCTAGCTCAGAGCAGAAATGCCAAAGTACCGCTCCATCTCTCCTCCTCCTGGACCAATCTCTATTCCGGGGTATACCAAAAACGCCTTTCAGGGCTGCGCACACTAATAATCTTAATAATAATAATAATTCTTTTCGGGACTGAGGCGTGACGCCTCCCCCAGCCCGGCGTGCTGCAGCGGGCTGCGAGTGCCGGCCACGGTGGCAGCGGGTGGCAGCTGTCCCTGTGTCCCTGCCTCCTCCTGCCGCACGCCGAGCCGCTCCTGCCCATCCTACGGGAGCAGGGGACAGCGAGCCTGGCAGCCTGCAGGTGTCTCCCGGCGGAGGAGGCTGCGGAGCCCCTCGGGAGGATGATGTGCGGTGCCCGAGCAGATGTTCACTCGCCTCTGGGGCTCCTCGGGAGGCAGAGCCGCTCCGCTCCCCTCAGCGCGCTGAAGCTCCGCGGCTGCGAGAGACCGGCCCCGCTGCCGCGCCGGCAGCTGCTGCTCTAACCAACAAAGGCAGGGTTTCAAGTGAAGGGGAAGGATGGGAGTGTGGCTGCAGAGCTTCCTTCACCGCTCCAGCAGCAGATTGGAAGAAGCTGAGAGTTTTGATGCCTGGACAACTGGATTCTGAATCGTGAGAGGCTTTGAAACCCACCCCCCCCTCCCAAATAAAACAAACCCCTTTGACTTCTTCTCTCAGCAGGAGGGGGAGGGAGGGCGGATTTACCATGAAGACAAATCGAAGATGCAGAGCCCTGCTAGCAGTGAGTCTGAATCTGATGGCTCTCCTCTTCTCTACAACAGCTTTTATCACGACCCACTGGTGTGAGGGCACACAGAGGGTCCCCAAGCCGAGCTGTGGGAAAGAGAAGAAGACAAACTGCCTCAACTACGGCGGGAATGAGACTGCAAATGAGACGAACCAGAATGTGGTTCATTACAGCTGGGAGACGGGAGATGACCGCTTCCTTTTCAGGTATTTCCACACTGGGATCTGGTACTCCTGTGAGGAAAATATCAATGCTGCTGGTAAGTATAAAACAACTTCCTCCCGGCCTGCGTTGCTTTGTGCTCGCCTCGGCGTGATAAGCGACGGGTTCCGTGCCGTACCTTAGAGCAGCGGAGAGAGGCGGGGGTTTAACAGTTCTGTGTTGAAAAGCAACCTGTTTGTGCGAGGGCAGCGATCTGCTTGTTTACCTGCTGCCTGCTGCAGGCTCTGAGCTCTCCGGCTGAGCCCCGGAGCAGCCGCGTGTGAGCCCGGGCACACGGGCAGCGGGCAGCGGGCAGAGAGCATCGGG